CAAAACAGGCATGGTACTGGTACCAAAACAGAGAATAGACCGCAATGGAACAGAACAGAGCCCTCAGAAATAATACCACATATCTACAGCCATCTGATCTTGGACAAACCTGAACAAAACAAGAAATGGGGAAAGGATTCCCAATTTAATAAATGGTGCTGGGAATATTGGCTTCAGTCATAAGCAAAAAGTTGAAACTGGTGATCCTTTTCCTTACTCCTTATATGAAAATTGATCAAGATGGATTAGACTTAAATGTTAGACTAAAACATAAAAACTCTAGAGAAAAGCCTAAGTAATACCATTCAGGACATAGGCATCGGGCCAAGACTTCATGTCTAAAACACCAAAAGGCAATGGAAACAAAAGCCAAAAGACAAATGATCTATTAAACTAAAGAGGTTCTGTACAGCAAAGAAACAATACCATCAGAGGTGAACAGGCAACCTACAGAATGGGCGAAAATTTTGCACTACTCATCTGACAAAGGGGCTAATAATCCAGAACCTTACGAAGAAGTCAATTAAATTTACAAGAAAAAAAACAAACAACCCCATCAAAAAGTGGGCAAAGGATATGAGCAGACATTTTCTCAAAAGAGATTATGTAGTACAGCCAACAGGCACATCGAAAAAATGCTTCATCAGTCACTGGTCATCAGAGAAAGGCCAAATCAAAACCACAAAGGGAGATAACTTCATCTACACCCACGCAGTTAGCAAATGGGCACACATTAAAAAGTCAGGAAACAGCACGCGTGCTAGAGAGGATGTGGGAGACAATAGCAACACTTTACACTGTTGTTGGGACTATAAACTAGTTCAAACCCATTGTGGAAGAGAAGTGGTGGCGTTCCTCAAAGGATCTTAGAACCTAGAAATATCATTGACCCAGGCCACATCCATTAACTGGATATAGTTACCCAAAGGATTATAAATCATGCTGCTTAAAGACACATCGCACATGTATTTTTTGCGCGCACTAGTATCACAATGGGACAAAGACTTGGACGAATCAATAAATAAATAAATAAATAAATAAAATTCATGCGATCATAAAAAAGACCTAGAATAACTAAAACAATTCTGAAAAAGAACAATGTTGATGGGATAACTCTACTTGATTTCAGGACTTACTATAAAGTAACCAAAATGTGACATTAGAATCAAACTAGACAAATAGATCAATGGAACAGAATACAGAGTCCATAAATGGATCCACACATGTATGGACAACTGATGTTTGACAAAGATTTAAAAGCAATTCAAGGGAGGAAGGACAGACTTTTCAGTAAATGTTGTTAAAACAACTGGATGTATGTAAGCAAACAAAACAAAACAGAAAGAGAGGGTCCAATTCATAATGCACACCATATGTAAAAGATTAACTCAAACTATGTTGTAGATCTAAATGTAAATCATACATTTATAACATGTTTCAGGAGAAAATCTTTGTGACCACAGGATAGGCAAAGTCTTTTAGATTCAACATCAAAGTACAATCCATAAAAGAAAATTTGATAAATTGGACATTATCAAAATTTAAAACTTCATACTTCAAAAGACACTATTAAGAAAATGAAAAGACAAGCTACAGAATGGGTGGAAATATTTGCAAAGCATATATTTGACAAGGGACTTGTATTCAGAATCTATAAAGAGCTCTCAAATTCAATAAAAAGAAAACAAGTAATCCAATTAAAAAATAGACAAAATATGTGAAGAGGCATTTTACCAAAGAATATATATGCATGGCAAATAAATGCATGAAAAGGTGCTCATGATCCTTAGCAATTTTAAAACCACAAAACCACTACACACCTATGAAGATGGCTATAATCTAAAAGACTGATCATGTCAAGTGTTGGCGAGGATCTCAACTTGATACTCTTCTAATGGGAATGTAAAATGATAGAACCACCTCAGAAAAAATAGTTTGGCAGTCTCAAGATCTACAGCTACCAAATGACCTAACCATTCCAACTAAAAATATACGAGCACATACGTTCATACTAGACTTGACATAAATGCGAATGACAGCTTTATTTGTAATAGCCCCAAACTGAAAACAACTCAAAGGTCCATCAACAGGTGAGTGGATAAATACATGAGTGTATTTACATACCATGGAATGCTACTCTGCAGTAAAAAGGAATGAAGAAGCCATACAGCAGCAATATGAACAAATCTCAAAATATTTATACTAAGTGAGAGAAGTCAGAGAGAAAAGAGTGCATACTGTATGATTCTATTTATATGAAACTCTAGAAAATGCAAACTAATCTATAACAACAGAAAACAGATCAATGGTTGCCTGGGAAGGGTGGGTGGGGGATGAGATGGGGGAGTAATCACAAAGGGGCAAACTTTTACCAAATAAAAGTGAGGATGATGGGTCTATTCACTACCTTCATTGTAGTGAGGGCTTTAGGTGTGTATATACGTGTCAAAACTTGTAAAACTGCACACTTTGAATATGTGTAATATGTCTATTACACCTCAATAAAGTTGTTTTTTAAAAAAGCAGCAACAGCAAATCTTGATCTCTGGTTCATATGTACCCTCAAATTGCAGTGAATTTTGAAGAAGCTAAGCTCTTCCTAGAACTTTCCCTCTAAGTTCCACTGTGCTCTAATAGGGATGTGCCTGCAAATTCTGCACATCAGCAAACTTCTAACCAGGAAATGAAACTCTCCCTGTCCCCACTTCCTGTAGGTGCTCCCAGTCTCTACAGGGCTCTCTCTTGGAACCTCCTCCCTGACTTAGATTAAGTTAGGAGAGAAGTGGGGGGATGCGGGTGAGAAGGGAGTATCCCCTCTATAAACATTGCACTTTCTGAAATGACTATAACAAATTTCTGTCCCTCTCCTGACCTATCTTCTTGTGCAGACTGGTGGGGGGCAGGGAGTGGGTGGTTCTTCAAAGCTTCAGTGAAGATTAGGCATACCTGGGATGTTTATTTGCCTCCAAAGGTGATTTCTGACCCCAATTGTTAGCAGTTGCAGGGCAACCTCCTGCTCAGATGGAAAACTCAGGAGAACAACCTCCTGCTCAGACAGAAAACTCGGGAGAAAGGGAGACTTGCTGACTGGTTCAGGCCTTGCGAGATGGGGAGGCTTTCTAAGTGGGAAGTGGGTAGGGGCAGCAGTGGGTCCAGAAAGCTTCAAGCTGCCTATCAAGCTAAGAAAGTAAATCTTTAATGACTTCTCTTTTGGGAGAATTAAGAGTTGGGGCAGCCAGATCGGGAAGGCAGCAGAGTTTTGTCTCAGGCTTTCTTCCTCTACACTCTTTTTCCCTTTTTTTGCTCCTCTTTTCAGCACTCAATGTTGCTGATGAAGGAGACATAGAAAACTCTTTTTTGTCTAATATTTTTCTACTATGAATGTAATTTGTAACATACAACTGTTTACTCTTGACCAAAAGTAATTAAATATTTAAATCATGCACACATCATGTCAATTAGATTAGGTTTTAATGATGCCTGCTGTATTCTGGAGGTCCTGAGAGATGGGAGAAAAAATATCCTTGTAAAGGTCTCATAGGAAACTCTAGAACAAGTTTGTACAACCAATGGGCTTGCATGGGCCGCATGCAGCCCAGGATGGCTTTGATGCAGCCCGACACAAATTTTTAAACTTTCTTAAAACATTATGAGATTTTTTTTTTTTTCAGTTTTTCTTTTTTAGCTCATCAACTATCATTAGTATTTTATACGTATTTTATATTTGGCCCAAGACAATTCTTCTTTTTCTGATATGGCTCAGGGAAGCAAAAAGACTGGACACCTCTGCTGTAGAAGGTTCTCTCTCTGAAGTGTTATCTAGAGTTTATCATTTACTCTTTGTTCCCATAAACTGATCTCTCACTTCTAACCTGGCATGAAATTCTCTGCCTCGTCTTTGAGGCTCTTGAGCAAGCCTTACAAGGATGTCTGAGACCCTGACACCCAGCCCAGTTGTGGTTAATGTGAAACTTTACAAGCAGATCTGCCAGTGAGCATTCTTCTGGGTTTCCAACCTTGCCCAAATGGGCTAAATCAATCATCGGTCTGACTGCCTTCTGAGGAAGTCAGGATAAGGGTCTAGTTATTTATGACAACCTCCTGAAGGCTTCTCTCTGCGAACTAGTTCCCCAGGAGAGGAGGTGGTCATTAAACCACCCACCTCCACTGTGCCCTTCCCTTACAAACAAGATCTTATTCTTTAAGTGCGTGCTGATGCCAAGAAAGAGATTAGTTTGGTGGAGGAGAGGGAAATTCAAGCAAAAACTTACATTGGATCTTAGAGCTACAGAAAAATCACCTTGCCCACTCTGTAACAAGGGCCCAAAGATCCAGGGAAGGAATGTGTCTGAGCCTACACATGCCACTCAGAAGCAGGACTGGAACTAGAAGTCAAGGGCCCCTCTACCCTTCAGCCAAGGATTCTTTTCTGTAGCCATTTTTATTTTCAGAGAAAATTTCTGAGTAACTGCAAGATGTCTCAGAATCCTGCAAACATATTCATTTTTCTTTCTTTGAGAACTGAGTTTCATGATCAGGATGAAACTTCCTTTTCTGGAATGGGGTACCTCAGAATCTTATTTTGGTTGGAAGAAGGAGGGATCACCTTTAAGAATGCAGATAGAGCGATAGAGCAGGAGAAACCCTTCCAACAATCCCTGGGAGGTCATTTGTATTAACTCCGTGTTGTAGATTAGCAAAGGGAAGATCAAAGAGTTAAAGCAGTTTGCCCTACTCAGTATTTGAATCCATGGGTGATTAAATTTGAATGATTTAAGAAATAAAAGAGAATAGAGATGGAGGCCAAAACAGCACCTTTACAGGTTATAGTTGGAGACAAATGGGTCTTCTGGCAGAGAGTGAATAGATGCTCAGCAAACCTGCTTCCTCTTCTTGCTGACCATCGTTAGACCACAGTTCCCAGCCTTGTTCCTTGTATGTGGTCATGTGACTTACTTCTGGCCAGTAGAATGTGGGCAGAAGTGTTACACATCACTTACCAGTAAGATCCATAAAATTCTCCAACATATAATTCTCCATTCTCCCTCTTTTTCTTCATCTGCTGGTTGAATGATCCAAGAAGGCCCTAGAACAAGATTTTTCAACTTTAGCACTACTGGCATTTAGGCCAGAAAATTCTTTATTAGAGATTGTCCTGTACACTGTAGGATATTTAGCAGCATCTCTGGTGTCTACCGACCAGATGCCAGTAGCATTTCCCACTCTCCAGTTGTGACAACCAAAATGTTTCTAGACATTTCCAAATGCCCCATCTGTGGCAAAATCATCCCCGGTTGAGAACCACTGTTCTAGAAGATGCCAGAGCCACACAACAGAGGGAACTTGGGTCATGAACGACTGCATGAGGCAGAGCACCCTTTTCACATCTTTCAGTGACATGAGCGAGAAATTAACTTTTAGGCTGGGCATGGTGGCTCATGCCTGTAATCCCAGCACTTTGAGAGGCCAAAATGGGCAGATAGATCTCTTTGCCCATGCTGGTTTCATGGGCAACATGGTGAAACTCCATCTCTACAAAAAATATATATATGTATACAAAAGTTAGCCTGGTGTGGTGGCATGTGCCTATGGTTCCAGCTACTTGGGATACTGAGGTGGGAGGATCACATGAACCCAAGAGGTCGAGGGTGCAGTGAGCGTGATTTTGCTACTACACTCCAGCCTGGGTGACAGAGTAAACCCTGTCTCAAAAAGAAAAAAAAAAAAAGAAAAGAAAAGAAAAAAGAAAAAAAGAAAAGAAAAGAAAAATAAAATAACTTTTACCACAGTTTGGGAGATGTTTGTTCCAAAGGTATCCTGAATGACATAGTACAGCTAAATCATCCCCCTAAGTAGGCAGACTTGCCCAACGAAGCAGAGCAGTCCTATGCGAGGCCATCCTTGGCTATAAGGACAAGACCCAAGAGCAAGAGCAGAAAGTGTGCTTCTCTTAGACAGACAGTTCTCAAGATAAAGAAAGTAGCAGAACTGAGCTTTATATGCCCTAAAAGTTCTTCCCAAATTCACCAATCAGATGTCACTTCTCATCTACAGGGGCAGATAAATCTGAAATGTGCAGAATGAAAAAGGCTTCTTCTCAGAAACTCCCTCTTCATGAAACCAGGAGGCTCTGTTCCAGGAGACCCTAGAGCCTACTGTCTTTCCCCTGCACCAGAAGATCTGACTCAGTACAGAAAATGACCTGTATTCTGCTCAGTATGCAATATGGCCTGTGTTCTCATTTTCTCATTAAATGCTTTATCTTATTTTGTTATCGAAGTCAAGGCTTAGTCTTCGGCCAAGGTCAAGGGTCCGTCTGTGACTAAACTGAAGCCTCACTTTGGGACTAGCCAGATTCAGGCCATCAAGGACAGGAGTTGGTCTGTGACAGGAAAACAGAACTGGGCTGGAGAAGGGTAAAATTCATAGCCTCATCCTGAATTAACTTATGAATTTTGCCCAGCGTTCCCATCACACAATCCATTTCCTTTCTTCATTGTCCTTTATATTTCCATTTACTAAATAGGCCAGTGACATACTAACTGCTTCCCATAAAGCTGTCAAGAGAATGCAATGAGTGACCTCAGTCCAGGAGAAGCAGACCAGTGAAAAGGAAATAACTGACTGGAAGCCAAGCAACATGGATCCACATCCAGATCTGATCTGCCACTAACTGATGATTCCAAACTGGACATATTACTTTGCTTCTCTGGACCTCCGTTCCCTCGACATAAAGTAGGAATATTAGGTTGGGCATCTCTTTTAACTTTATTTTAACTGCACTAAGAAGTATTAAATCAAGATCCCGTCTTACATCTACCATTAATGGTAACCACGTGCTGCTGCTTTTCCCTCCCTCATCGCTCCTCAGGTCCAGTTCAACTTTGGATGTTGTGAAACTCATAAAGCTGCAATAGCCCACGATTGGTCTTCTTTATCTCAGACTGTCTCCAAACCCCAGCCTAATTCACTAGGAAAAAGACTAGATACATTCTTAGGATCCTTAAGTTATATTATCCTAGAATTCTAGGATTCTAAGATTCTCATCTACGTCTTTACTATTCTAGATTCTAGTCTAAATATCTGGTAGCCTAAAAAGCTTTGAGTCTTAATTCTTGCTTTTTTTTTTTTAAAGACAAGGTCTTGCTCTGTTGCCCAGGCTGGAGTGCAGTGACATGATCATAGCTCACTCCAGCCTCAAACTCCTAGGCTCAAGGGATCTTCCCACTTTAGCCACCAAGTAGCTGGAACTAGAAGCTTGTGCTACCATGCCTGTCTATTTTTTTAGACGGCCAGCACAGGCTGGCCTCAAGCTCCTGGGCTCAAGCAATCCACCTGCCTCAGCCTCCCAAAGTGCTGGGATTACAGGCATGAGTCCATTCACGGCTCTTCGAGTCTTAATTCTAAAGCCCTAAAAGTCCAGACTTCTAACTAACTTGAGTTAAATGAGGTTACATAATAGTAATAGCTCAAATTTTCACTGGCTCCTGCCCCCAAAGGTCCCAAATTCCTCATAGGTATCTTTCATGTCCTTATGAACACATTTGGTCAGTGAGAATGCAGTACCTTCTGTTCCTCTCTGCAACTTCCACCTTTCCCCACTCTTCAGCCAGGTCTACCTGTCTACCGCCAAGTGTTACCTGGCCATTTCCCACCCCTACCTCCACCACACACACACACCAGTTAGCTACATCTGTTTAGTCTCATCTAAACCCAATGGAAGACAGAGGCCTAGACTCAAACTAAGCTCCTCACTCTGAAATTCTTATCATTCGATATCTCAGTGCCCTGTATTTCTGTTTCACATAGTTTAGAATTCCAAATTTCTCACAACTTATAATCTGACTATTCCTGGACATTAATAATCTCAGCTTGAAAGATGTTTAGATTCTAAAACACTATGTTTCTAATTCAGTGGGAGATGCCAGAGTATCTCCTACTCCCTCTCAGAGACTCTGGAATCAAGGAAGTCAGAGAGGCCTTAGCCAGCTCTGAGAGAGCCTGTGAGAGGGAGTAATAGGTCTAAGGTGGGAACACCACAACATGGAAAGAGCGCTGTGGACTCAGGGTGGAAGGAAGAGCAATCAAGCTTCTCTGTAGAATGCCCAGAGTGGTCACACCCCAGCAGGCTTCCCAGGCCCTTGGCAAACTGTGAGCACCAACTTAACAACCTCCAATCAAGTGTGTTATTTATTTTACAAGTGACTATAAATATCAAAATAAAACTGAGAGTTTATGTACATGAACTGGGCCCAGAGCTATTAAACTGCTAGTGGCTGTACATTTAGGAAGTTCTCCTCCCAAGGCTAAGGGTGGGACCGCCTGGCCTCTTGCAGGCTTGGTCCTAGCCCCACATCTCCCAGGGTTCAGAGTTTTGGAGGTCTGATTCTTCCCAGCTTGGCTGCAGACCCCTCTAGCTGTGATGAGTGGTGGATACATGGAGTAGGTTTCAGAACAGTGGAAGTGATTTAGGCTTGTGTTGGGAAACTGGGGCCCTGTTCAAATATCTGATTTCATAAGAAGCCCAGAAGGCTGGCAGAAATTCTTGGCCCAACACATCCCAGAGCCAGGAGCATCATCTGCAGCCAGAAGCAAGTAAGTCTCAGCTTGGAGGAAACTAAGGGAAGAAAGAGAATTTTCTCTGTTGTAGCAGGGCTGGGCCTTCAACAGAAATGGCTCCAATATACTCCCTGGTGCTATGGAGAAGTTTTGACACATACCTCTATCAGCCAATCAACTCCTCTGTGTGTCAGTCAGTATGAGGGTCAGCCAGGTCTGTCATTCATGATCATTATCAATAAAGCATTATCACTGACATAAAGCCAGCCCTTAGCCTGGTCTTCAAATCTTTTACATCTTGAACTCAAGCCCTTTCCAGTCTCACGTTCTGGCCCTCTCCATTGTAAACCCCACTGGTTCCCCCAAAATCCTGCTTCGCACCAGCACGTCTCAGCCTGCACTCTCTGTTCCCTCCCTCTTCTGGTGGTCATTTACTCAACTCAGATGCAGATGAAATATTTCCTTCTCCTCTATGAATTCTATTCTAACTCCCTAGGTGCTGGGGTCATGCTTCTCTTTAGTACTTAAAGAACTACTTTGTAATGTTCCATTTAAATGTCAGCCTCCCTATTAGACTGCACCATTTCTCATATCTGCATTCCGGGCCCCTAGCACAGGGCCTGGAACGGTATTTTATTTGGATATTTGCAGACATGGAGGAGTAGGAAGTGTGGTTAAAGCATGTCAGAATAAAATGGAAGAATCTGTTTCGATTCAGTGAAAACAAGGTGACCTCTGAAAGGATAGCAGGAGAAAGGCCTGAGTGAGACATGAGGACAGTTTGTGCTGGGCTTTAACCCCAGAGAGATGTCTGGCCTTTGTGCTGCTGCTCCTCTCTTTACCAATGGGATGATCACAGGCAGATTACTTAACCTCATCTGTAAAATGATGGTGGCTGTGAGAATTAACTGAGTTCATGTGTGTAAAATACTAGGACAGTGCCTGGCACATAATAAACATTAGAAAGGTATGAGCTTTTATAGTAGTAATTGAACTGTTGGAAAGGGTAGTGGTGGTAGTAGTGGCATCATTGTGTAGGTTATGAGGAAAACAAAGCCTTGCTAGCCAGGTTGAAATAGGCAATAGAGGTTGGCTTCTAGCAGAAATTGAGGCTTCCCCACTTTCACCAAGGTTACTCATGCTATGACCCACATGGATAAAGGTCAAGGGCACTGCTGAGGCCACAGTGAGGGGAGAGTTCTCAGTGTTCTAAAGTAATACTCAGGCTGTCTGTCATGTAACATAGTATGTTTTGGATTTAATTCCTTTTAGGTCCCAGCCCTGAGTCTCTCTGTCTTTCTCTAAGTCTGTGTCCATCTGTCTCTCTGACTATCTGTCTCTCTCTCTCAACTTGAGTGGAAATGTTTTCTTTCCCTTCACTTTCCTTTTCTTAGGTTTTTCTGTTTCATAATTCTCTACCCTTCTCTTCTACCTTAAAGACATGACTAACAGCATAATGTAGTATAAAGAACATCAGATGGGGAGTCAGAAGACCTGGGTTCCAGCCCTAACTTCTGGTGGAATCCT